TACAACGGTTGATGGTGAAATTTCATGAGAAAGAAAATTTTTTCTGTCCTTTTCGCTTGATCCTGAGCAAAATGTAAGAAGATGAATTGTTATGTTGCAGCATCTACAATACCGCTCATAACTTTTGCAAAAGAAACGTGATTTCACATGAAAAACTGAATCTTTTAAAAATCTTTAAAAATCTTTTAAAATAGAGATTTATTAAAAGTAAAAGCGTTGTTAGACTCAGCTCGTCCAGACGAATCTTAGGGTATGTCACACTACAGTAACACCTAGGGTGTACAGTAGATACGGTAGGAAGTCAACATCGCGAATCCGTCTTTAACTTTGCGTAGGGGTGGTTTTATGACACTCCAACGCAAAGATTCAGACGGATTCATGATGCTAACTTCCTCCGTGTCTACCATACTTCTCAGGGATTAATGTAGTAGGGCATACCTTAAGATTCGTCTGAACGTGTTTAGTCTAACACTGCTTTTACTTTTAAAAAATTTCTATTTTGAAAGAAGTTATGACGATGCGACGCTTGGGACGAGTTTTTATGTAAAATCACGTTTCTTTTGCAAAAGTTATGAGCGGTATTGTACTTTTAATACGAAGGATTACACTCTTTCTGCTTCTGCAAAATAAAGCGAGAAAAATTTGATCTTTGTTTGAATGCGCTCTAACATTTCACATCAATCTTATAGGAACCAAGCAACTTTCGTACAAAAACTATTCTAAGGCTCTAAATGCACTCTCACCCTCTCTTACTCCCCTCACTTTCAGTAATGCTTTATCTTCTCGTTATTATTTACCAAGTCAAAACAGTAGGACATCTTAATATCCAGCAATTGGTGAACCTGATGACCAGTCTTATGAAATCCTATATGTTCCTAAGGCTCGTGTACCTCATAAGCATTCCGGAACTGAACGTTCCAAAAAATAACTAATATTTTGCATGGAATTCATAAGTGCTTCGAGCACCGCATGTCTATCTGTATGTGATGAAGAGCCTACGATTTTAATTTATTCACTGCCATGTGCTTGCTCAGGCTTAATCGATAATTCATATGAAGGAGACGCTTACATATTTCCACTCCGGAACAAAGTTATTGAAGGAAAAATATGATGAGAGCGTATTACATTCTATTCAGAAATCCATAATGGTAATGTATTTGTAATCTCATAATCCCCCCTGTTATACAGTTTAAGAAAGCATTATATGTGATAGCTGCTCCTCTTGTAGTAAGTAATTTCTTTTGATCACTCATGTCGTAGCATGTCGTCATAAATGACGACCTTTGCGGCATTCTGTATGTATGCCGCAGAAATAAACGAGAGTTCCGACTGGTGGCAAATTATGTATCACTATTAAAACCTAACATTGCTAGCATTAAATTACTATTCTCGAATAGCGACAAAAAAAAACTGCTTCTCTTTATCAGGACTTGAGGCTAATAAGGATTTTTCTCTATTATATGCATCCGCAGCTGCATTTGGTTGTCGGTGTAACATTTAATGTCCTAATATTCTATAGGGTACATCACAATCGTCAAATGTTTCAACAGCTTTGTAAACGCAGGTCCTTTCGCGGCCCAAATGCGGCGCACAAGAAAAACACTGTTTTCAATACCGATGAACATTTCCGTGGACCCATTTCAAATTGTTTCCAGGCTACAAATCTAAGTTTCTGCAGGACAAATGGATCGGAATATTCAATAATTGCCTTAAAGTAACCGCGATTCTTCTGGTTTGAGGGAGCTGAGCCATGCGTTGGTCTAAATTGTATTGTGCTCGTAAATCACTCTGTTGTGATGTTTCGTAGCTTTCCTGTGTCTCCCTATTTCGCACATTTACAGATATGATTCAGCAGTTGAAGTGGGCCTTGGTAAGAATTTCTACATTATAATCATTGCAAGAGTTACGAAACTCACTGTTCACTTGCGGAGCTGAAGGAGAAATATCGAAAGTAAAATAGTAAAGAAGTAAGTAGTAAAATATCCAAATCGCGAAAACTTCATTCATAAAGTTGGAACAAGAGGTGAAGCTGTGTTTGAGTTTGTTCTTTGAGAATCTAATACAAGACTATTGCATCAAGGTATGCAGATTGGACGCACTTATGCTCATAGTCATTCCCATAGTCTGTGTTGGGTCGTCGTTGCTTCTATCATGTCTCCTAATAATCGCTTATATAGGAAATTTTCTATGAATTATTTTAAACTGTGAAGCCTCCATTTTTTCAGCGTTTAAATACCGATGGAAATTTAACACTCTCCGTAAACTAAAAAAAGCTAGAGCAAAATGAGCATACTTTTGGAAAGCACTACCCCTTGATTACTATCCTTATCTTA